TCCTCGGCTGGGTCAGGAATTCGGCCTTGGGGGGGGGGGGGACTCGATATATGCCTAACGTGTATGAAAACACTCTGGCTGCCTGTCCCCGGACCAATAAATTATTATTAATTCTTATAACATCAGAGACATTTTGACCGCTATCTTGTTTACGCGAAATAACATGCACAAAATTTCAGATTAAACCAAATTGCAACCTTTTGACAACATTCAGACACTAAAACTTACATCAACTATTGCTTGGCAGTCTCCACGTGTTGAGTGTTGGCGAGACTGACGAAAGGAATGTTGAGTAATGTTACTTTTGTACCCGTAATACATTTAATGTTTCGTAAGACACGTTAAGGCTATCAGTGCCAGGGTCTGATACCTCCCACTGTGGCCAGTCCCAGGAGCTGTCACCTCCCACTGTGGCCAGTCCCAGGTATCAGTGCCAGGAGCTGTCACCTCCCACTGTGGCCAGTCCCAGGTATCAGTGCCAGGAGCTGTCACCTCCCACTGTGGCCAGTCCCAGGTATCAGTGCCAGGAGCTGTCACCTCCCACTGTGGCCAGTCCCAGGTATCAGTGCCAGGGGCTGTCACCTCCCGCTGTGGCCAGTCCCAGGTATCAGTGCCAGAAGCTGTCACCTCCCACTGGCCAGTCCCAGGTATCAGTGCCAGGGGCTGTCACCTCCCACTGGCCAGTCCCAGGTATCAGTACCAGGGTCTGTCACCTCCACTGTGGCCAGTCCCAGGTATCAGTGCCAGGGGCTGTCACCTCCCACTGTGGCCAGTCCCAGGTATCAGTGCCAGGGGCTGTCACCTCCCACTGTGGCCAGTCCCAGGTATCAGTGCCAGGAGCTGTCACCTCCCACTGTGGCCAGTCCCAGGTATCAGTGCCAGGGGCTGTCACCTCCCACTGTGGCCAGTCCCAGGTATCAGTGCCAGGGGCTGTCACCTCCCACTGGCCAGTCCCAGGTATCAGTGCCAGGGGCTGTCACCTCCCACTGGCCAGTCCCAGGTATCAGTGTCAGGGGCTGTCACCTCCCACTGTGGCCAGTCCCAGGTATCAGTGCCAGGAGCTGTCACCTCCCACTGTGGCCAGTCCCAGGTATCAGTGCCATGGTCTGTCACCTCCCACTGTGGCCAGTCCCAGGTATCAGTGCCAGGAGCTGTCACCTCCCACTGGCCAGTCCCAGGTATCAGTGCGAGGGGCTGTCACCTCCCACTGGCCAGTCCCAGGTATCAGTGCGAGGGGCTGTCACCTCCCACTGTGGCCAGTCCCAGGTATCAGTGCCAGGGGCTGTCACCTCCCAGTGGCCAGTCCCAGGTATCAGTGCCAGGGGCTGTCACCTCCCACTGTGGCCAGTCCCAGGTATCAGTGCCAGGGGCTGTCACCTCCCACTGTGGCCAGTCCCAGGTATCAGTACCAGGGTCTGTCACCGCCCACTGTGGCCAGTCCCAGGTATCAGTGCCAGGGTCTGTCACCTCCCACTGTGGCCAGTCCAGGTATCAGTGCCAGGGTCTGTCACCTCCCACTGTGGCCAGTCCCAGGTATCAGTGCCAGGGTCTGTCACCTCCCACTGTGGCCAGTCCCAGGTATCAGTGCCAGGGTCTGTCACCTCCCACTGTGGCCAGTCCCAGGTATCAGTGCCAGGATCTGTCACGTCCCACTGTGGCCAGTCCCAGGTATCAGTGCCAGGAGCTGTCACCTCCCACTGTGGCCAGTCCCAGGTATCAGTGCCAGGGGCTGTCACCTCCCACTGTGGCCAGTCCCAGGTATCAGTGCCAGGGGCTGTCACCTCCCACTGTGGCCAGTCCCAGGTATCAGTGCCAGGGTCTGATACCTCCCACTGTGGCCAGTCCCAGGTATCAGTGCCAGGGTCTGTCACCTCCCACTGTGGCCAGTCCCAGGTATCAGTGCCAGGGTCTGTCACCTCCCACTGTGGCCAGTCCCAGGTATCAGTGCCAGGGTCTGTCACCTCCCACTGTGGCCAGTCCCAGGTATCAGTGCCAGGGGCTGTCACCTCCCACCGTGGCCAGTCCCAGGTATCAGTGCCAGGGGCTGTCACCTCCCACTGTGGCCAGTCCCAGGTATCAGTGCCAGGGGCTGTCACCTCCCACTGTGGCCAGTCCCAGGTATCAGTGCCAGGGGCTGTCACCTCCCACTGTGGCCAGTCCCAGGTATCAGTGCCAGGGTCTGATACCTCCCACTGTGGCCAGTCCCAAGTATCAGTCCCAGGGGCTGCCACTTATTTGGTGATAATGTAAATACAACTCATCTAGAATACAAGACAAATGTATTGAAAAACTTAATTGAAAAAATCACACAAATAAAAAAAGGTAAGTTTCAAATGTGTTTTAGAATTATTTATACATAAAATTATTATGATTTTTCCTTACCTTTGTCCCCAGAGTGTCCAGATAAGACTGGTGTGAAGTGTTCAACACCCTCCCCCCTCCCCCACCCCCCGGCTCCTGGTCAAGGTAAAGTAAGACTGGTGTGAAGTGTTCAACACTCTCCCAGGCTCCTGGTCAAGGTAAAGTAAGACTGGTGTGAAGTGTTCAACACCCTCCCTGGCTCCTGGTCAAGGTAAAGTAAGACTGGTGTGAAGTGTTCAACACTCTCCCTGGCTCCTGGTCAAGGTAAAGTAAGACTGGTGTGAAGTGTTCAACACTCTCCCTGGCTCCTGGTCAAGGTGTCAATCCATCTATGTCTGTCTCGGTCTCCATCTGTCTGTCCTTATCTGTCCAGTGAGAGGAGCCAAGTGGCACGAAATACTACCAAAATAATAGTTCCCCCTTACTCTGGCAAAGGGCCGTAGCTTGAGAAACCTTTTAAAACTGTCGAAGAATCGACAGTTTCAAAAGGTACTTTATGTAAGTACGGACAAAATATGGATAGCAGGAAGTTTTTGTTAATTTTTCCGAAATCAGTGAATTATGGTACATATTGCTATAAGACATCTGGTTTTTTGAAAGGTTTGTTTTGAAAACATTTAGCTGTGTAGCCAGCAGGATCTGACACAAATTGTCGATGAGGTCTGAATGTGACCCTGGCATGCTGCTCCCTTTTGAATTCTGATGACCCCGTCTAACCTATGTTCGTCCCGTACCCCAGACCATTCCCTCTTGCACTTTCGGTGAGGCTAGTCCCAACCCTGTGGCTTCCAACTTTGGACAGACAGACAAACATTCTCTCTTACAGAATATACTCGTGGGGGGGGGGGGTTACCCGGTAGAACCTGGGTTTTTCTCTATGTCTCTCATCTGTCCATCTATCTATCCATCCAGCTATCTATATATCCACCTATACATCTATCCATCCACCTATACATCTATCCATCTATTCATCTATCAATCTATCCATCTGCTCATCTGTCAGTCCATCCATCTGTGCCTCCATTTAGCTATCCATCTTTCTGTCCTTCTACCTGATGGTCTATCTGTCCATTGAACTATCTATCTTTTAATTTCTTAAAATTTATCTATTCATCTAACCATCTATCTACCCATTTTGCCTCCCATATATCCATCTATCTTCCCAACTTGCCATCCACATATCAATCTAATTATCCATTTATCTATCAATCCGCCTATCCATCTATACATATGACCATACATCTATCCATTTATTCACCCTTCTATCCATCCATCAGTTTTACTATCTATCCCTCTGTCGATGTGTCCATATATTTATCAATCAATCCATCCTTCTATCCAGCCATCTACTCATCTACCTATCCATCTATATATACATCTCTTAGTATTTCTATACATATATGTATCACTCTCATAAAATACAATATGTGGGGGGAGGGGTTACCAGGAGGTGCCAGAATTTCCTTCCCTCGCTCCCCTCGTCCTCCTCACTATCCTCGTCGTCCCTACCTTCCCCTCTCCCCTCGTCCTCCTCACTATCCTCGTCGTCCCTACCTTCCCCCCTCCCCTCGTCCTCCTCACTATCCTCGTCGTCCCTACCTTCCCCTCTCCCCTCGTCCTCCTCACTATCCTCGTCGTCCCTACCTTCCCCCCTCCCCTCGTCCTCCTCACTATCCTCGGCGTCCCTACCTTCCCCCCTCCCCTCGTCCTCCTCACTATCCTCGTCGTCCCTACCTACCCCTCTCCCCTCGTCCTCCTCACTATCCTCGTCGTCCCTACCTACCCCTCTCCCCTCGTCCTCCTCACTATCCTCGTCGTTCCAACCTTCCCCTCTCCCCTCGTCCTCACTCCCTCCTCAGCCCTTCCCTCACCCGATCCTCCCCCCTACCACCTCCCGCCTTACCCCTCATCTCGTGTGCCAGTCTTCCTCTCTTTACCCTTCCTCCGCCCCATTCTTCAACCCCCCCTCCTTTTCACCTAGTCCACTCTCTCTTCCCATTCTCCCCTCCCACAAATTGCCTCGCTTTCCTATCATAAAATATAATATTATGGCGACATAAAACTAATTTGTGTTTGAAAAAAGATCTTGAGATATCTGATTTAATATTTCACACTTAACTAGAACTGAATCCGTGATAAACGAATGGTTGTGGGGGGGGGGGGGGGGGCGAATAATTTAACTTAGGCCTATCCCCTGACTAATGTATGCCCCATCCTCTATACCCCCAGACCATTTTTCCTACTCATTTGGGTAAGGTTTGCTCTAAGAATCTGGCCTCTTTGTATATATCTAAATATATACATTGTTGGGGTTTACACTTACTCTGGGGTGAGCAATAGTTATGCTCAAGGTCACTCACCGTAGCCCTGCGGGTCTTCACTCGATCCTCACGGCGCCACTGCACGCCAGGAGAGTCTCCCCGTCAATCTCAACGGCCTCTGATTGAGAAGGAGTGGGAACACGACTCGTTCACTTGACTGTCATGTGCCCTCCCCAACAATCGGGCTCTACGGTTAACCACAAGGTCGCCAACTGGTGTTTTAGGTGGCCAGTAACACCTCAGTGGACTGGTGGAATTAGTGGTAGCCTTGGCAAGGTCACACTCAAAAGATCAGGAATCAGGCAGGTACTTACTGTTATCACTCTGCTTTCCAGTATAATATAGCCACAAGATCAATGGAGGGGATGATATAAACACAAAGATAGTTTTGTATTTTACTTAAAATGCATGAAAGATATCACGAGGCCAAACAATAATATATAAATCAACTGATCCTGGCTGCGGCCGGTAGTTCCCACGAATAGTATGCACTCACTCAGTGGCAACACCTCCCCTCCTCGTCAAGTGTCAAGAACAGCTGATCGCCTGGCCCCCGCGCGAAAGATTATTGCTTGTTTTCTAGATTCACGCGCGCTGTTTCTTTAAGTTCTCCAATATTACTAGGAACTCGCACACTCGATATTGGCACAAATAGCACGTATTACTTAGTTACACTGTACTCAGGCTCAAACAGTCGTTTCTACAATCAATGCTACAATGACTCACTGTAATGGTTTTACATTGCCCTTCATTCAACGATATATTAAGAAATATTAACACTGGAGCTTTCAGTACTTTCTCTCGTGGGCGATAACGCAATAATTCACTGTACTCACAAATGATTGATCACTGCATGAACATAGCATATATAATGTATATACATCAAACATCAATACATGGAAAATAAATAGTTTCTGGGCACACAGCCTAACTCCCAAATACTGGCATAATATTATATATAATTTATCACTATATGTTCACATCAAAATCTGTAGAAAGATATACAAAACACAGTAAATTTATCACTTGTTCTGGGTGCCTGTACACACCAATAATCAACATAAGTATTATAAGTACTCTTGATAGTACTACACGGCAAACTGGTGCCTTACTGTGACACAGGTGAGACTTGCTCACGACATATAAAATCCTCAGGCTAGATCATATAGCCGAATAATATAGCTAACTAAAGGGAAATGGGGAGGGAACAAGAAACACCTACTTCAACCTATCCTCCGATGAGAGTCGAGATGTAGCTCCTGGTCCTCTTGTCGGGAACGCCCCCACACACACGTCGTCGTGTCCTACCGGAACCTCTCGTCGTCCCACCGTTTAGCGCGTCGTCTCCGTGCCCTCTTCACTGCAGATCCGTGCTCCTTCTCTGCTTCTGGTAGGGTTGGAGTCGGTCTCCTGGCCGTCGTCTTCTCCCAGCAACGGCTGCCGCCTACGTCTCAGCTGCCGTCGTCCAGATTCCCAAATAGTCCTCTCCTTCCTCAGCTACCCAGTGGCTCTGTCAGCCACTACGCTGTCACGAACTGGTGAACTGCCACAGACGTCACATACGTCACTGCACGGCTTCACTGCTTCTTGCACAGTACCTGACTGGAGCACTTGTTGCTCAAATAACCGTCGATTCCCTCTCTGGTTCAACACATGAACTAGGGAAGACCTCACAGAGTACTGGCAGACTTCAGGTGACGCGTAAATCCACGGGAGCGGGAAACAACTGTCAAACTGACAGGACCAATCGTCGCACGTCCGACCTCTTTGACGTGTCGTGTCTGACTGCCTCGCCAGCGCGGCGCGCGGCCTGGACCCCCTTCCTTCGTGACGTCACTTTCGCCACGGGAAGTTCTCATTGGCTCCCGGTGCCACATTGCTGTCGGTGACCAATCTGGTGCCACTGACGTCACACGGTTTTGGCGGGGAATCAGGAAGGCCAGCGCCATCTTGGCTTCCTAAAGGGCCTATACCACAGGCCAAAATATTACTATTTCACAAATTTCTCGGCTCTCCGAGAACACTTCACTCTCTCCCATATATCAAATTGTAGCCTGCTACGTAGAGAACGCTTGGGAAAAGTAGACATGACTCTTACTGCAGGCGTGGGAGAAATATAAGGGGGGGAACACCGTCACATACCCCTCCCCTTAAAATAAGAGTCATGTCTGGTTAATGTATGCGGGATAGGGCATCCGCTACCACGTTGTCCTTCCCCTTGATGTGCTTGATCTTGATCTTGGTCAGACTCTCAGTGCTGGTGAGACGGGTGCCGTCCGCCCTGGACCACTTTCCTTCCTCCTCCGGGAATTCTCGGTCCCCCTGTACACACAGAACCGTCTTCCGCTGGGGTTCTCGGATCATCGTTCCTTCCTGCCTGGCGGCTCCCCCTTCCACAGTGAAGAAAGGTTTTAGGCGGACGACGTGACACACCCGTTTCTTTTGGGGTTTGTCCGGCTTCCCAATCTCGTACGACACTGGACCCAACCGTCGCAGCACTTGGTATGGTCTCTCGAACCGCGACTCGGTCACCCTACCTTTACCTGAAAGTAAAACTATC